AGAAAGGCCCTTTTTCCCTTTCTCCCTTTTGGAGGGGGGTTTTAGCCCTTCTTTAGGAACCCCCTTCCCCTGTTTTTTCCCCTGGGCTGGGAAAGGGGATTTTTTTTATAACCCGGATATAAGGGGCTTCCCCCGAGGGAATATTTTCCCTTGGGCCCCGGGGTTGACCTCATTCCTACTTGAAAACGGTTTCCCAGCCGACCGGTGTGGTTCCCCAAGGAAGGGCCAAACTGCAAACTGCCCGCTGGGGAAGAGTTTTCGGCCAAGCTCCAATCAATTTTTCGAACAAACTTTTTTTGCCCTCCAATGCAATCTCAACCACCGTGCATCCTGTGCGGAGCCCCCCGAGCGGCACCTCTTTCAAAGAAGGGGCAGCTTGTGCTACTGAATCAAATCCCATCCTCGGCCAGCTCGGGTTACCGTTCGTTGTTCGGCCAGGTTCCACAAACAAAGTACAGTATCCTTCTGTGGTTACATAGGCTTGCCTAAGACGGGAAGCACCTGCTTCAGCCGCTTGTGTTATCGTCCGGCACATGCAACCGGGCTTCAAACAACCTGGAAAGGCTTTTGGTGCTAGAGCGCTACATGACGCCTCGTTCTGGGAAATTCCCATGCCCTTCACGCAGCTATCAAGGGCAACAACAGGAACTTGTCAACTTATCCTTGTCAGCAGGCATTGCGGTCGCCGAACGTGCCTCGGACCACGAGAGAATAATCTCCGTGCTGGAAAAGCTAAGCAAACTTTTTTTTTCGATGAGCCGTCGGACATTTACGAATCAGACTTTGCACTTGGCATGCTAACCTACGAAGCTTGCTCACGATCTTCGGATCAAGCCGACTACCCTCTGCGGCGGTTGACTGACTTGCAACCTATCCCATCTGGACCCGGTGGTTGGGTATTTCTTTGCAGATGTTACACAAGACCTCAATAAGGCTCGACAAAAGCAAGGGCAGCTTTCCAGCTACCTGGTCAAGGGTGACGAGACCACCCATCGGAAGATCGCTGTGGGGTAAGAACGCTTCTCTGATCATGCACCTACGCGGGCTCCTGCATTGCACTAGGACCCGTGCACACTTTGATGAAAGCCATGATGGAGACGCGGAGAGCCCGAGCAAGGACAGTGTGATTCGCCACAAATGCACAACACGCGACTGGGATGCTCCAGCTCGTGGACCTGCCTAGGATGCATTTTGCATTCAAGACACTCGAGCACTTGCGGTAATGACCGATGTGCGACACATCGTCAACGGCTCTGTCTCACGTCATGGTTCGCCGCCTCTAGTGGATCGACCATCAATGAGGTGCAGGATCTCCCTCGCATTCGACCGAAACCGGTGGTATCACAGTACAACGCATCCGTCTCGATCGTTGTACGTAGTCCCGTGACCATGCCGAGCATCCAAAGCATTCCTTTCCAAGCCATTGACGACTTCAATGACACTGGACGATGACTTGTTGCTAGCAATTAGACATGAGACGAACACGACAAGACACGTACGCGCCATATCAAAGAATGCAGCCGCACGTAAACAACAGTCGTCGTGTATGCAATGAATCGCCAGAGCTTCGCCTTTTTTGTGGGCGTCCCGGGCACGCCACAATGATTACAGGTAACATGAGTTTTCCGTCTGGCAGCGCGGGTAACATTGGCCAAAAGGGGAGGCCGACTTTTCCTCCTTCAGAGGCCCATTTTCACACGCTTGCAGCCTGTCTCGTCACTCCTTCCAGGTAACAAATGTCTGCTGTCAAATTTCCGCTCACGGGGTCCATGACGAATCGCTTCTCAGGGGCAAGGCGTCGACGTGGACACAGTGAGACTTGAAGCAGCATCTACCGCAGAAGGGGTGGGGGGCGGTAGGTAACGTAGCGATGCCAGTTCGAGCTCGTAAACTCAACATCTCAAGGTAGCTGACACGCACGATTGTCCGCTGTGATGAATGAAGGGAAACGGACATATACCCTCACTACAACGCGAATTAGAAATTTCCCTGGTTTATGAGACTATCTGGATTCTTCTTCATGGCTCTAGCTACCATGTAGTCTTCCGTTCGAACGCTTCCTGTACTATG